GAGCTATTGCCCTTGCCAAGGAGCCCAGGTTTCACAGGAAGACCAGGCATATCAAGCGTCCCTTCAACTCCATTCGTGAAAGTGTTCAAAATGGAGACATAGAGATTTGTAAAGTACATACGGACCTGAATGTAGCAGATCCGTTAACTAAACCTCTCCCTAGAGCAAAACATGATCAACACCAGAATTCCATGGGTGTTCGATTCATCACAATGTAACTAGATGATTGACTCTAGTGCAAGTGGGAGACTGTTGGAAATATGCCCTAGAGGCAATAATAAAATGATTATTATATTTCCTTGTTCATGATAATTGTCTATTGTTCATGCTTTAATTGTATTATCCGGAAATCGTAATACATGTGTGAATACATAGACCACAATGTGTCCCTAGTGAGCCTCTAGTTGACTAGCTCGTTGATCAACAGATAGTCATGGTTTCCTGGCTATGGACATGGGGATGTCATTGATAACGGGATCACATCATTAGGAGAATGATGTGATGGACAAGACCCAATCCTAAACATAGCACAAGATCGTATAGTTCGTTTGCTAGAGTTTTTCCAATGTCAAGTATCTTTTCCTTAGACCATGAGATCGTGTAACTCCCGGATACCATAGGAGTGCTCTGGGTATACCAAACGTCACAACGTAACTGGTTGACTATAAAGGTATACTACGGGTATCTCCGAAAGTGTCTGTTGGGTTGACACGGATCAAGACTGGGATTTGTCACTCCGTATGACGGAGAGGTATCTCTGGGCCCACCCGGTAATGTATCATCATAATGAGATCAAAGTGACCAAGTGTCTGGTCACGGGATCATGCATTACGGTACGAGTAAAGTGACTTGCCGGTAACGAGATTGAACGAGGTATTGGGATACCGACGATCGAATCTCGGGCAAGTAACGTACCGATTGATAAAGGGAATTGTATACGGGGTTGCTTGAATCCTCGACATCGTGGTTCATCCGATGAGATCATCGAGGAGCATGTGGGAGCCAACATAGGTATCCAGATCCCGCTGTTAGTTATTGACCGGAGAGCCGTCTCGGTCATGTCTACATGTCTCCCGAACCCGTAGGGTCTACACACTAAAGGTTCGGTGACGCTAGGGTTGTAGAGATATGAATGTGCAGTAACCCGAAAGTTGTTCGAAGTCCCGGATGAGATCCTGGACGTCACGAGGAGTTCCGGAATGGTCCGAAGGTGAAGAATTATATATAGGAAGTGCAGTTTCGGCCATCGGGAGAGTTTCGGGGGTCACCGGTATTGTACCGGGACCACCGGAAGGGTCCCGGGGGTCCACCGGGTGGGGCCACCCATCCCGGAGGGCCCCATGGGCCAAAGTGGGAAGGGGAACCAGCCCATAGTGGGCTGGTGCGCCCCCCTTGGCCCACCCCATGCGCCTAGGGTTGGGAACCCTAGGGTGGGGGGGCGCCCCACCTGGCTTGGGGGGCACTCCACCCCTTGGCCGCCGCCCCCCTAGGAGATCCCATCTCCTAGGGCCGGCGCACCCCCCTAGGGGGCCTATATAAAGGGGGGAGGGAGGGGGCAGCCGCACCCTTGAGTCTTGGCGCCTCCCTCTCCCCTGCTGCACCTCTCCCTCTTGCAGTATAACGGCGAAGCCCTGCTGCGGTGACGCGCTGCATCCACCACCACGCTGTCGTGCTGCTGGATCTTCATCAACCTCTCCTCCCCCCTTGCTGGATCAAGAAGGAGGAGACGTCACGCTGACCGTACGTGTGTTGAACACGGAGGTGCCGTCCGTTCGGCGCTAGGATCTCCGGTGATTTGGATCACGTCGAGTACGACTTCCTCATCCCCGTTCTTTGAACGCTTCCGCGCGTGATCTACAAAGGTATGTAGATGCAATCCGATCACTCGTTGCCAGATGAACTCATAGATGGATCTTGGTGAAACCGTAGGAAATTTTTTGTTTTCTGCAACGTTCCCCAACATTGGAGACAAGAATTGGATACAAGAGATGAACTAGGGTTTTGAGATAAGATGGTGCTGATGAAGATGCTGATGGAGATTGCCCTCTCCCGATGAGAGGAGCGTTGGTGATGATGATGATGGCGATGATTTCCCCCTCCGGGAGGGAAGTTTCCCCGGCAGAACAGCTCCGCCAGAGCCCTAGATTGGTTCCGCCAAGGTTCCGCCTCGTGGCGGCGGAGTTTCGTCCGAGAAGATGGCTTATGATTTTTTTCCATCGAAAGACTCCATATAGCAGAAGATGGCCATCGGAGGGCCACCAGGGGGCCCACGAGGTAGGGGGCGCGCCCCCACCCTCGTGCGCACGGTGTGGCCCCCTGGTGAAGTTCTTGCTCTCAGTATTTTTTATATATTTGGAAAACATCTTCCGTGAAGTTTCAGAACTTTTGGAGTTGTGCAGAATAGGTCTCTAATATTTGCTCCTTTTCCAGCCCAGAATCCCAGCTGCCGGCATTCTCCCTCTTTATGTAAACCTTGTAAAATAAGAGAGAATAGGTATAAGTATTGTGACATAATGTGTAATAACAGCCCATAATGCAAAAATATCGATATAAAAGCATGATGCAAAATGGACGTACCACACGTCACCACTGACGTTGTGGTACGAACAAACTTTGCTCTTGCACCGCCTACCTCTCAGTCGTGTAGATCCACGCTCTGTCCATGGAGCTCTGGTGGTGGCTATGGTTTGGGAGGCAAAGGGGAGAGAGACACGGAGGAGCTGGGCACGGGGCATGAAGCACGGTAGCTTGCTTCCCGACAGCGTCGGTCGAGCACGCGATAAGGGAGGAAGGTGCCTGGGTTGGGACGTTAGCAACATGCCGGAGTCCACGAATAGGAGGCATGCGGCTTGGATTTGGGCTCTCCACCAACAACGTTGACGGCCAGATGATGTACTCTGACGAAGAGTAGGACGTGGGACACGTGCCCACGTTCCGCGAAGAGTGGACTAGGGTCAGATTCCTTTTGTTGTGTAAAAGAAATCCGAATATTAATGAAATTCAGGCCCGTTTGATAGCAAAGTATTGGAAAACCCAAAGTATTTGAAAACTACAGTATTTTATCCTATAGGCACAAGTGTTGAGTTGTGTAAATGTATGAATATGTACAGTTGGGGGGCTAAGATGTAAAAGACCATATCTATATAGAATACATAGAAAGAGGAGGCTGGATAAGGCGCTCCAGATTTTTCCCCATTCTAGTTCTTTCTTCTACCATCTTCTAATCCAGATTTGTTGAATATTTCTCTGATTTACAACAACAAGATACCACAGTTTTGACATACAGAAGTTTTCTAGAGTATTGAGAATACTGCAAACATGTTTGACTATTGCTTAAAAGTTAGCAACTATTCACAGTTGCAAACACGCATGCACGTACCAAGCTCCCTAGTCGTTGCACACTTGGACAACCAACAAACAGCCGCATACATGAACTTGAACGGCCATGCACAAAGCCAGCTCACCAAAAGTGGAGACAGCTGAACTACTAGGAGCGAAGCTGCCGGCTGCACGTGGGCTGGAACACTCGGCCATAGTCAGTGTCGCCGTCGAGGGTCACCACGGGAAAGTCCACGGCGGCGCCGACAGTGCACCATGCAGCGAAGCTGAATTGAGGAGATCGAGTTGTGCCACTTGGGAACAAGGATGCAAACATGCCTGTTTTCTCACCGTGTTCGGGTTTTTTTTTAAATCCGGGGTTCTTTTTATTATGCAGAGAAAATACTGTGGTTTGGCAAATACTCTAGTATTAAAGCCACAGTTTTTAGACAGAGCCAAACAGCCTGTTGTGAATAAAACTGTAGTAATCTGAAAAACTATAGTATTTTTAGAATACTTTAAAAACACTTTGCTACCAAACGGGGCCTCGGTGTCCGTTTTCTTTATTTGGTGCACTGGATTGGATGGCCAGCTCCCCTACCACAGTCCATAGACACGTTTAGGCGTGTCCGTGAACATTTGATGCCGTTCGTTTGATGAAGCGTATTAGAATTTCCCTTAGGAGTAGATGATTTCCCATTTTCATGATGAACTCCGAGGCAACACGGAACATATTATCTTTAAACTCAGATAACTTTACAATATTAACTTAAATCAGATATGAAACCTGGAAAACTACATTGTCCTTTCGCCTTCGAGGTTTTATTTTTCAATTTTCAACTTAGCCCTTTGAATGCTATAAACCAGGTCCAATACTGTAGAAGGTTTACCGCAGTATTGATAGATTTGAGCTTTGCTGCACCTACGAACAATAGTTAAGAAGAGTTGCATAGAGTTGGACACGTAGTCACGTAGGTCAATTTTCGTAGCTTCCTTTCGTAGATGTAGAATTTTCGGATAGATCTGGACCATTAGAGAGGTTACCGGAGAACAACTCTTGCAAAACGTGCTAATAATATACTCTCTCTGTTTACTTTTCTAAGACCTTGAAGACATTTCAGACAATATGCAAAACAGTCTATTTTGAGCTGTCTGAAACGACTTACAAAAATGGACGGAGGGAGTACTTACAATCGAAGTATATAGTAGATGCCAGAATCGCCAGGAACATAGTCTGAACTCTATCGATACAGCTTTGCGTCACCCCCACTTCGAAGATATCCAGATCGTTGATAAACCAGAGGGATCTGGATATGAAAATAACTTAACAGCATCCATTTGATCCAAAAGAAAAAAGGGGCTTATAGCACGGACTTCATGGTATGCTTTTTAAGTCGTAACGTCTGGACTTGTGCTTGATCATCTGAAGAGGAGCCTCGCCGCCGTCGTAGCATCTCTCCACCTTCACTCCAGTTAAGATAACAATCTCGTCGCAAAGGAGATCTATCATGGTGTCCTCATCTGAAATGCATGGAGAGTCGTCCTCATCGTCTGTCAGTGGCATGTACGGTGCAGGTACGCGCAACAAGTTCGTAAGTAGCGTGGCGATGCAGAACATGCCAGAGCCCAAGTTAACCAGATGGAGCTCGCTCATCATCCTCCTGTTGTTATCCTCGGGCAGGTCAAGAAAATCCCAAGCACCTTGCGGCGCCGGTGGCTGCTCCGCGCCGTCCATGGCGGAGAGGTCCAAGGCGCATAACCTGGGAAAGGGGGGGCTGCACACCGAGATCAAGGAGCCCACGGGGGGCTGCCGACTGGGAGCGAGAAAGCCAGCCAGAGTTTGAGCTCAGGGACGTACTCAGCTTTGCCACACCAGGGCAGCGCCCATTTGCCGACCTGCCTCCACACGTGCCTGCACGTGCCTCGCCGTGTCGAAGGCGTACGTGCCGAAGCCCCCTTGCGTGGACGACATGCAGATGGTGGAGCTGTCGACCGCTGTGTAGCAAGTCGTTCGTCCGAAGTCGTAAGGGTAGCGAGAGACGAACGGCGGCGCCGGCAGAGCACGCCAATGCCACCCATCATCCTGGTGGCAGGCGAGGACTTGGAAGAGATCGTCTACCCTGACGTGCTCTGACAGGTCCATGACATAGAGAGATCTTCGCTCTTCTTCAGTCCGGTCGGCCGGGGTCATGGGGAGGTTCATGCAGTAAGGGCCCGTGATTGAACGGGCGGTGCGAGGGATGGTCGCGACGGTGCCATCGACGGTGCTGTACAGTGCCGTCGTACCGGAGGAGTCGGTGAAGACGATGCCGTCTCTTCCGAGCAGAGAGAAGGAATCCCTGATCGTACTACTACCTGTTACACTGGACTTGGGATGAAAATTGATCTCCGGCTTCGGCAGAACCGAAAGGCGCTCTAGCGTTGATGGTTTCTTCTTCGTCGTCGTCCTTGCATCCTGTGCAGCTGCTTTGAGCGCTTCTGCTGACGGGTAGAAGAGGTGCTTCATGGCGTATTGGCGTCCAGCCGGTGCAGCGAGTACATGGAACGGCTGCGGTCATGCACTACCAGATTCACAAAGCGGCGGGGATTCATCCTCTCCAAATTACTAACTCCAAACAGAATAATCTGATCCTCTCCGTCTAAGCCTCCTGGCCTGGCTCTCTAGAGACGTGAAACGAACAAATTTTACAGAGCGCGCCGGAGGGGGGCTTCGGCGAGCAATACCTGAATCTGTGGATTTACCGGCGGATCCAAGGGTCTACTCTACTCTGATGCCCCTGGAGAGGGCGAGGGAGCGGCGAGCGCGAGCACATGGATTACATCAGACATGCAGGTGGACAGCGGGAGATCTGATCTGCCGCGTTCGGGAGAGGCGAGCACAAATGGCGGCGCGAGGCGCAGTGAGATTTATTGTTCGGATGCAATCTAGGTCACGCCGTCTCTCTGTCTTTATTTACACGCTAGCAAATAATACTCCTTAGTACTCCCCTGTTAATAGTAGTACTCCCTCCTTTTCCGGTTGGCTCAAATCTCAAATCTCATCAACCAAAGCATTTTGTGAGTGGATGAATGTATCTCGTACTATACAAAACTACCTCAATTAAACTCATGCATTAATTTGAATTAATTGCAGTGCATGCATGCTTGGCCACTAGATGAGTAGGAACATTACATATATTGGTGTATTCCTCTTTAATTCTTGCATGCAAAGATTTAATGCACATTGGAAACTAAAAATGAGATGGAGATGAGCCCTCTAAATTAAAAAAACAAAAAAATTGAAATAAACCTTATAAACCGAAAAAGAGGGAGTAATAGACAATTTTATGTGTGTGTTTTAACACGTAGACAATTTTATGTCGTGAACATGCATGTCTGTCAAACATGGGATGCCTGTGGTTTTCAGTCCATGATCGATTTGTAGTCAAACAGTGTTCCGAAATTCATGGTGATGATGTGCTCTTGATTTCAGAAAAGTCGTTTGTGTAAGGTTGGTTTTACTGTTTGTGCACAGAAAAAAATTCAAGTGTGAATTTGAACAGCCGGGAAATTGAATGAACTTGTCATACAACTAGGGTGAAGAAATGAGAGGCCGGGAAATTACAAGGGCAAATGTCGAATATACAAACAGTTTTGCTAAAGCACATCTAAATGTGCCATAAATATTGCACATCTAAGTTCTATGTTATTGATCTTGCATTAAGATTCGTGCGAATATTTTTTTTTCTTTTTATACTTGATTCACTCACTTAGATATGCAATAACTAGAGCACATCTAGATGTGCCCTGGACACTATACAAATTTGAAAGAAAAAAAATGTCGAATAAACAGATGGTGCCACAAGCAGTCCATGACATCATTGAGGTGTAGATGGATAGACATTAACCATGGAAGGGACTTCCAATGGGTGCCAGAACTGACTTGATCCCTCCAGCAGCACTTCTTGCTTCCACGAGATCATCGACCAGACGCCGCAGATCACGGTGCGATGAGCCTCCTTCCACCATGGCTGCGTGAGCCTTTGCGGCAAGGTCCCTCACCCTGCCCCTCGCCGCGTCCCCTGGTCCTCCAGGGGGCATGAACGCCATCACTACCCGCGCCACAGCTTCGGCGGGGACTAGCTCGTGTTCTGCACTGCTCGTGCTCCGTACGCCGGCGCCGTGAGGCCACAGCCGCTCCCCGATCCCGAGGACCTCCGTGACCAGCCTCTCGGTGATGAACTGCTCGAACACCAGCGGCCATGTCAGCACCGGCACACCGGCGGCCACCGTCTCCAGCACCGAGTTCCACCCGCAGTGGGTCACGAACGCGCCCACCGCCTGGTGCCCCAGTATGGCCGTCTGCGGGGCCCAGGTGGTGACCATCAGCCCCCTGTCTCTGACACGCTCCTCCCGTCCCTCCGGCGGAGCCCACTCCTCCGCCCTCACCACCCACAGGAACGGCCTTCCCGAGGCCTCCAGCCCGAGAGCCAGCTCGCGCAGCTGGGCGTCCGAGACGGGGGCGAGACTGCCGAAGCACACGTACACCACCGAGCGGTCTGGTTTCGAGTCAAGCCAGTCGATGCAGCCCGGCGATGGCCGCGGCGAGACAGGCCCTAGGAAGTAGGCGCGCTTCACGTAGCCTTGGCGCATCTGCATCTCGCAGTAGTGCTGCTCCAGGTCTGAGAATGTGTTGACGGCGAGGCCGAAGCAGTCAGCTTGCGCCGCGTAGAAGGGGTTTCTCGTGGAGCAACCCACCTCCGCTTTCCTCCTCAGGAACTCCGGCAGCTCGGCCCTCGGCATCCGTACCGGAGGGCCCGGAAACCGAGGGACCACGGCGACAACGTCGGGGTCGGGGTCGCCGCCGGCGACGTCCGGGGCGAGGAGCTCGAGGTGGCGCATGGCGAGCGACGAGAAGGCGCCGATGACGCTGAACCGGACGCACGGCACGCCGAGCTCCTCGGCGACGCGGACGTTCCAGACGAAGTGCAGGTCGGTGACGAGCGCGTCCGGGGACTGCTCCCTGACGAGCGCCTCCTGCGCGGGGCGCATCAGGGCGTCGCTGACGGCGGTGGCGTCGATGCGCCACGAGTCGGCCGGCGCGGCCTTGCCGAGGTTCTCGACGCCCCCCGGGAGGCCGTCCACGGCCGGGAACGGGTACGTCGTTATCTTAACAGGCGCAGTGTGATGTTTGCCGTAGTGACGCTCCAGCACGGAGCGGACGATGGAGACGTTCGCCGGCGTGACCGCAACGGTCGCCTCCACGGCCGCGGCCGCGGCCAGGCGGATGGCAAGGTCGGTGAAGGGCTCGATGTGGCTGGTCGCGAAGAAAGGGATGAGCAGAACGCGCAGCTTCTTGCTAGTGCAGGTGCTGAAGCCGGTGCCGGCAATGGTCAGGGCCATTTTCGTTCCTAGCGGGTACAGGCTCGATGTGGCTTCACTCAGCACGCGAGTTTAAGTAAGCCAAGATCGACGCAGTTTTCCTTTTTTTTTTTTTCACATTTTCTTATACCATACAAATACCTGCCCCCAACCACTGAAAAATGCAAATGACAATCCATTGCAACCATTGTTAATTCAGCACAACGCCGCCGCAGGTTGACAACGCTGGAACAACAGAACGGAATACGTGCATAGGATTTCAAGTACACTTATTGGAGGGATCGTATTATGAATGAACAGTCAAGCACTCCTACTAATAAGTTCATAGTACTGCCAGCGATCAAAAGGAATCTGGTCTCATTATCACTGATAAAAGTATAACAACCTGAATGTGACGCATTATTGGAACATAAAAAGATACAACGTTCAGTGTTGTTCAAAAAGCAATATAATCTAATTAATACTGATAGAAATATATCTTAAATCTGACAGATTATATGCACCTTGCTTAGGCCTTGTTTGTTTCAGCCTTGGAAGGAAAAATCAGAAGCTGAAACCAACAACTACTCCCTCCATCCGGAGTTGCTTGTCACAAAAATAAATGTACCTAGATTTATTAATAAATGTACCTAGATTTATTTTTAGTTCTAGATACATCTATTTCTATCCATTTCTGCGACAAGTAATCCAGGATGGACGGAGTATTTGGAATCTATAGCTTTGCCAATGAAGCAAATCAGCTTAGTTGCACTGAACCTTAAACACATACTAACTGCACAGGATAAACCGTCTTCAAACTTATCGAATAGACAGCATACCGTTTATTGATTTATTCTATTCAGTAATTTCGGTTCACCCTTGGTTGATGATCTCATGTGGTAGCCTCACATTCCAGGATTCAACAAAAAAAAACATATAAATTCTGGAGTCAAACGAATGTGTACACAAAGAAGCATTGCAGTTTCATACGTTCCAAATTACTCAATTTGAGTAACAATTTCTGCAGAAAGTAGAGGCACGACACATTTGACATCAATGGCAATCATGAAACCACACCGAGCCAGGAACATGGTGCAAAGTGTCACTACCACCTATAATCAATTGAACACAAGCACTAAAAAGAATAGTGGTTCTAAAATTCTAAAGAAAATTTAGATCCCCTATGTACCAAATCTGACAAGACTCCCTGAAAAAATTCTCCTCGAAGAAGAAGAAAAAATCAATAGAGAAATACACAGTTACAAGCCACAGCTTGATGACACAACCAATGGAAGGTGCTTGCTCAAGATTTCCAACAGATTTTCCCCAGGAAGAAGAGCTCCCAGTCCCAGAACAAAGCTCAAGCAACGACAGCAGGCCCCTATTACAGCAAAAGAGGAAAACATGGAATTAGAGCATGAGAAGCAACAAACAATGTTGTGACACAACCCATCAAAATAGAACATGTTGTGACACAAATAAGCTTGCAAATAATCCACTGTTTGACAAAAATATACCCTAGTAGAGAAAAAAAAAGAAGCGCATATTGATTGGCTTAAAAATGGCTTTTCAAAGCGCATTTGTTCCTAGAGTTATGCGCACAAAAATGTACCTTCGATAATGCCACTTATGTTGCCAAAAGCTAACAAAGCAGTAAAAGCATTACTGTTATCACAGCATCACATTCTGCAAATATCTCGTAACATAGATGCCCAAGAGTGATAGATAAAGTCATAATACCCTATAACTGAACAGAAAAAATGTTCCAGTACTTGACTGTATCTCTTGCTCGGTGTTGTCTCTTGGTTGAGAGTTTATCTAAACGGTTGTTCTTTTCTAATCACGGATCAGGACTGGGTCTACTATCTGCAGGTAAGACCAAGATGCTGACTTGGTAATGTTCAGGAGAAAAGAGTAGCACCTAATGGAAACAAATTGCATGTAATGCTTCATGTCTAGAACTATGATCGGTTAGCTCCCAAATTTGAGAATCATCTGTGCACTGGCAGCAGCAGGATGATGTTTCGATGGTATGCTATTGGGGATGCCTATTATATAACCATAATAATGCAAATAAAGTTCTGCTTCATCACAATTTAGACAACAAGAAAAAGTGCAGACTGCAGCTCCTTAGAATTGCTACATGTCTTTAATAGCACTGCTTATATTTCTGGTCATAAATTTCCCGTAAAATTCATTATTGACTTACTTTGGCTGATATATTTGACACAGCTATCTGGAACTTTTCTCTTGTTCTTGAGCCAGCAACATGACCAGCCTTGGCAACCTTGCTGAACGCACCATTTAGCCAGCTTGTTCCAGCAGACACATACCTACAAGTAGGGGAAATGAGGGCGAAGGATCAGCCATATAGGACATAGGTAAATCATCAGCTGATATAAAAACACACATCAAATTGATTAACTGTACAATAGCAAAGGTATGTAAAAGAAGAGACCTGTTGGTTTTCACAGCAGACCCTGTATTGTTTAGCTTGCGCTCTGCAGCCAGCAAAGCGGCCATTGTTTTGTCAGAAACATGTAACCTTTGGTCCACAGTTTTCACCTTTTCATTTACGGCCGATATCCCAGTATTTAACTTCTCTGAAAGGCCAACACGCCTATCGAAGGAACTGATCCTAGCTGACGCATTAGCCCTCAACTGATGCCTCTCGTCAAATGATTTAGCTTTGTTCACAGCATCTTGTCGAATTGCTGAACCCCTTGCGATCACAGTTGTCATGACATCATGAGCCTTGCTGGCATAAACGCTAGTGGGGCTTGCGTTGGCCTACATGGTAGGGTCATACTTGAGTAATCAGTAACAAGGATGATTCACTACAGTAACATATAAGCAGATAAACCAAAGTTCTCATTTTCTCATTTTTATTTGGGGCAGATTTCCACACAGTGGCCCGTGATTGATGGGGTGGTCATGATATTACAAAGAGAAAGGAAAGAAACATAAATGTACTGGAATTCAAAGGCACCTCAGTAGGTTGTTCCAAATCTGCAGTAGGAGCTGTACTTGTCACCTCATTCACCATAAGTTGCTGCATGATTTCAAAATGGACCTCTCTATGAGAAAAAGGACGAATAGAGTACTGCCATTTATGTAACATTAATTAGTTGAATAGTGCACCTGTTCATTAACAGGGATGTAGATGTAATCTTCAGCAGAGGTTATGTTCACAACTCGATCCACAATTGTTGCTCCCTGAAAAAGAAATAGAATATAATGTTTATAGTGTTTCACGCTATCATGCATGGGGAAGCTTATCAACATCTGTTTGTTTTGCAGTTATGCAGATCTAAGGAACGTGGTGAGGTGTAAAACAGTGAAATAGACACAGAGCTAATATACAAGTACAAATTCACTGTAGACCTGTCAACCTGGAAGCCCCCTTGATTGGAGCAAGGACATGTGCACATAAAGAAATGACTGGCATGCTAGTTACTTCAAAGGACAAAAAAGATCACAAAGTCAAAGAATTCCAACGGCAATCTCGTAGTATATTATGCAGCACACTGCAGTGCCAATCAAAGCAGCCATGATTAAAATACTAATTTCCTTTTTCTTTACTCAAACATGGTCAATGATCTCTACAGATTTTACAAACAAGTAGCGGTGTCAACTGTCCTTCCATCATATTGCCAGTTGATGGGCATGACAATACAACATATCTTACCAAATGATTTATAAAAGCAATCAAGTTCAAATGTGATTTCCAATTCCTTCCTAAGTTTGGTCGTGTTCATCTATTATGAAAAAAGCTCACTGTGCAAACAGAACGCCACAAGAAGGGAAAACGATTAGAATGAAAGATTTCTATTCCTCCTAATTTCTACATCCATGTCAGCTGTCCCCAAGTGCAATTTATCATGGAGATAACAAATAAAAGCGTCTTCCTAATTTCCTTTCCAGCCAAATACAATTCAATATTGATATGCATGAAAAAAGTTAGGTGCAATGCATAGGCCATAACAGCTGCGTATACCTACTCCACTATTTACAGTTAAACAATGACAATGACAGCGCAGAAAACCATTCGTCATACCAACTGAAAACACCACCGCAACCAGACTGCATAAACACATCCACTGCGCAGATACAGATGGAAGTAACCATTGGATGATTGGGCAAGGCCGTACATACCGAGAGCAGCAGCGCGATCTCCAGGGCCTTGGCGTCCTTGAAGGTGACGTAGGCCGTCCTCCCCGCCGCCGCCCCGTCACTGCAGCAGCAGCAAGCCCAGAATAGCAATGCGGTTAGACAGACGGGACACACGTGGGGAGGGGAATTGGAACAGGGAAGGAAGGAAGGGAGCGGGCGCTCACGGGGTGATGTCGACGTGGTCGATTTCGCCGGAGAAGGAGAAGAACTCGCGCACCTCGCGCTCCCCGGCCAGATCTGAGATGTTCCGCACCCGCACCGTCCTCGTCCCCCTCCTCCCCTCCTGCAACCCACAAGGCACGGCCCGTCAGCGACCGACGCGCTCCAAAAACACAACGCCGCCGCACAAAAGAAAAAAAACAACGACAGCAATCGGTGGCTCACCTCCATGGCGCGGCGGCGGGAGAGAAAAAAAAGGCAGACGAGAGGTGAGGGCGGGCAGGAGGATCCGTCCGCGGGAGGGCTGGCGGGCGGTGGTTGCCTGGTTGGGTAGGGTTTGGTGCTTGGCTCGCTGGGGGCGATTTGTAATGGCGTGGCGTGCGTGCGTGCGTCTGTCTGTCTCCGCGGCTGTGCTCGCTCTCGCTCTCGCCGCTGCCTCTGCTGGCTGGCTGGCTGGCTGGAGTACTTTTCTTTTCTCTCGAGCAGCTCGCGTGCGTGCGTTGGTCGCCGAGAAAAGAGGCCGCCTACTGGGCCCCCGAGCGGAATACCCGTTTCACCCTCGCCTGGGAGCGCGGGCTGTGTGGGGGGCTGGGCGGAGGAGCGAGGGGCAGGAGGGTCAATTCGGGAGGCGACATGCTGGCGTGCTGAGTTTGCTTCGCGGCGGCGCCACCTCCCCTGACCTGTGCTCTACGACTAGTAGTCTAGTATTAGCGTTCCTTAAAAGGCGATTAGCCTTCCCTAAACAAAGTGATTAGCGACCCAAAAATGACGCGGCATCGGCTGGTCCAGTCTCGTCCAGTCCCCTCGGCCCACCGTAGAGAGGACGGGCGCGCGGGGCCGCTGGTTTCGATTTGATTCGGTCAAGCGTCGCGATGCTGGTGGTGGCCCACGGACAGCTCGGTCGGGGCCGGTCGTCACGATCCGTCAATCTCTCCCTCTCTCTCTGCCCCCCGCAACGGAATGGTTACAGAACCTTCCGTTCCGTCGAGTCGTCGACCATGTGCGGCTTGCGTGCGTGCGTGCGTGCGCTCCCTCTGCCCCCTCTCGCTGCCGGGTGGCCCCGGCTTTAAATTCTTTCCTTTCTCTGCGATCACGACTCATCAATTCTTTCCTTTCCTTCTGGCAGATGGCTTTCGTGCTGACCCCCCGTTGCTATCGGCCGCAGCGGGTGCTCACCCGTAATGAAAAAGCGAAAACAAAACATGCCTATCTGGTTTGCTGACGATGATCCCCCATTTGGCAAGACAGGCAGAGATGATGGGCTTCATCCTCTTATCTTTTGCCTATCCGCCACGGTGAGTAGTGCTCACCTGCAAGCAAGCTCAGAACAAACACAAGCCGGTGGTTAGCTGGTCAGGTTTGCTTTTCACCGTACGTGCCAAGAGCAACATCAACGGGCCGACCCAAACGGACGGCGTTTTTATCCGCTTTTTGTCCGTTTGGGTCGGCCCGGCGGACACAAACGTCCGGCGCTGTGTTTGGATCGGCGAGAGCACCCAACGCTGGCCCGACCCATTTCATCGGCGCGCCAAAAAAAAGTATTGCAAGCATTTTGAAAATAAATACATGCATTTAATTAAACGTAAAAGCCGGCGACGAAGGCCGGCGAAAGTCCACATTACATTAATTAAAATACTAAAAAACTAGACGACGCGCTGCCCTAGGCGTCCTCGTCGGCGGCGGCGTCTGCGTCGGGACCGGTGAGGTCGATCAACGTCGGCGCAGGGCCGGCTCAGGGGAACGCCGTGTTTCAGACGGCGCTGATGTCGGGCTTTCCCGCCGCTGCCTGGGCCTGCCGCGCCTTCTCTTCGGCCTCGCGCTCGAGCATCTGCAGGCGCTAGCCCTTCCGGCGGTCCTCGGCAAGCCGAACGCGGCGCCAGTGGTCGAGGTAGGCCGCCTCCTGCTTCTCCGTCGCCTCGAGCCAGATCGGCGGAGCGCTGACCCACTCGCGGACTACTCCGATCCAGGAGTAGCGCTCGATGTAGGCCGGCTCCTCCGGCTCGGCTTTGGGCGGGGACGACGGGGCCACCGGCGGCACGAGGCAGTCGCCCGCCGCGGAGAGGGCCATGGCCTCCGCCATGGCAGCCTCGAAAGCCGCCTCGTCCGCCTCCCTCCACCGCTCCTCCTCCTGGCTCTCCTTGATGGCCGCCTGGTAGGCGGCCTCGGCCTCCTGATCCTCGTCGCAGACGACGAGCGCGGGCGGCGGCAGGCCGTGGTCGACGTCGCGGACGCCGCCTCGCCTCGCCTCCTCGTGCTCGATGGCAAACCATCGAGCCCAGTTGAGCGAGTCGACAGCGAAGCGCGGGTCGGCGCGTTGCTCCTCGCTCAGCAACGCCCGCCGGTGCCGCACCTCCTTCGCATGGGCCTGGCCGTCCGCGGCGCCGCCGGCACTGGGATCCTCACCGGATCCAAATGCCAGTCGTGCGGCAGCGTCACGTTCGGGTACGGTAGAGGCACGCGATGTTGCCAGTGCCACTTGACCTGGTGCACCGGCACGCTGATGCGCTGCCTCTGCTGGGGAGCGCGCGCCGGCGCGGGGAGGGCGGGGAGGGAGGGGGAATGGCGGGCAGGGGCTTTGCCCTTGCGGCTGCTACCGACGCCGGAGAAGAATACCATGCTGGCGGTGGCTAGAGTTGTCGTCGGCGTGGGGGCAGGGGTGGCCAGATGGGGACGGCGGGCGAGTGGTAGTGGATGAGGACGGCCCCGCCGCACACCCGGCTTAAAAAAGGACGACCGCCGTCGCTGACGCGTGGACCCAAGGTGGGCGGTCGTCATAAATTATGTTGACCATAGCGATTGGACAGCCGCCAGGTGGGGACGCGGCGGACGGCGAGGAGACGCGCGGCGCGTCCGCTTCGCGTCCACGCCGACACTTTCCAGACGCAATTTTGGGCCGGAAATGGGTCGGCGCGGACGCCGGGCGGATACGATTTGAGTTTGGATCGGCGCGTTGGACCGCCACTTTTGTCCGCGCCGACCCAAACGGACGCGGGCAGACGAAATGGGTCACCCATTAGAATTGCTCTAACATTTGGCAGCTCCAAAATTTGCCCCAAAAAATGATTTTGGAACCGAGGGACTAGTCTCGAATGGTTGGCCAGTTATGTTGGTAGTCAATTTTCTGCACCAAGCCAAACATTTTTTCTGTGAACGCAAGTGTCAACTATAAACTTTAGTATATACTTCCTCCAATACAAAATTAAGTGTCGTCGTTCTAGTTCAAAAGTGTATTAAAACCACGACGCTTGTTTTGGATCAGAGGGAGTATCTTTTTGTGTGAATAAAACTTCAGTGATACAAAACGAAATTAATAGAATCTCGGTGGATATTGAAAGATCTGCCCCCTCACCCCGTCTCATGTGCGCGCGCCCACCCAGCCATCCTAGTTTCATGAGCATTGAAGAACACGAAAAGGACCGGGTGACAACTAAATGGTGTGAATGAGCCTTTGCTAGTATGTTTTAGGGATTTATGTTTGCAAAAATGCTACACCTAGTTAAGTTCCCACCTTACGTAAACTTCCTAACTAATCTCCCCCCCCCCCCTATTTCAACTGGGTGGGCCTCCCTCCTCTAATTTCGCCCAACAAAAAGATGCCACCTGGCCTATTACGTTAATTACGTAGATGTAGCATTGCTGTTATGTTTGTGGCTAGGTTACTAGTCCCACCAATTCCTGGAAACATGGCATCTTGGACATGTTTGTAATCAAATTTTAGAAGCCTTACTTGATAGTATTTTTTTAAAAATATCAAAATCATGGCATCTTGAAAATTGTTTTCCCTTCCAAGGATCTGAGTCTATGCATAGTACTAGAAAACATGCATAAAAGAGCAACTCTAGCAGACCCCGCATCCGTCCCCGACCCGCAAAATAACCGTCAAAATGGGGGTAGGGGCGGAAAAACCTGCCCGATCAGACCCCGCATCCTGCCCCGGCTCGCAAAGTATTTTGAGGGGCGCGGCAAAATCCCGACCCCAACCCGGGAATACGCGGGTTTCCCTCTCGCGGTTGCGGTGCCCTACATCACAGAGAAGCAGTTGGCGGGAGGGACATTTTAGCTCGCGCGATTTCCCCCTCCTTCCGCCGCCGATCGCCCTTGCTTCCGCCCGCCCGCCGCTGGCTTCCGGCCAAATCTACGGGCGGAATCGGTCCGCGGGGCCGCCCCACACCCTCCCACGCTGAGACGCTGCACCGACCCCCCCCCCTCCGGATCCGGCGAGAAGAGCCGCCCTCGTCGCTGCCGCCGCCGGGGATCGACCACCGTCGGGCCCGCCTCCTCGTCGACGCCCGGGATCACCCACCGCGTCCGCCACCGGTTAGTGCGTTTTGTTGTGATTTTTGCGAGCGGTATAGTAAACTTGATGCGCCGGTGCACATGTACATGGAGTTGAGCCCGTGCGAGAAGTTCTTGCTCTCTGATTCGTCTGATTCGGACGACTCGGATCTTGAGACCATGCTTGCGAACTTTCGGCAGCAAACATTGGTCATGGCACTTGCTGTGAAGGAGCACGAAGACGAGAACCGGAAGAGGAGGCGAGGATCGACCGTCGGGTGTCTTTGCATTCCCCGGAATCGTCATCTTGGGAACGAGATGTTGATGCAAGACTACTTCGCGGAGAATCCTACATATCCACTGCACCTCTTCCGGAGAAGGTACCGAATGCGCCGATCCCTCTTTGTCAAAATTGTTCAAGCTTGCGAGGCAAATTGCCGGTATTTTACTCAAAGAAGAAATGTTGTGGACTTAAAGGGATTTAGTCCATATCAAAAAATCTCCGCGACAATGCGGGTGATTGCATATGGTGTTCCGGCTGACTATGCCGATGAGTACCTTAGCATTGGTGAAGATACAATTGAGTCTGTGCGTATATTTGCAAAGGTGATCATCCGTGTCTTTGGTCCTGAGTATCTTCGGGCACCCAACGAAGATGACACAAAGAAATTGATGACAACTAATGAGAGGAGAGGTTGGCCTGGCATGCTAGGTAGCATTGATTGTATGCATTGGACTTGGAAAATTTGCCTCAAGGCATGACAAGGAATATATTGTGGCAAGTCTCGTGATGCAACAATTGTGATAGAGGCCGTAGCATCCGAGCATTTATGGATTTGGCATTGCTTTTTTGGTATGCCCGGCACTCTCAATGATATCAATGTGTTGCAACTGTCTCATTTGTTTGCTATAATTGCTAGTGGTGATACTCCTGCTTGCAACTACGCTATCAATGG